AAGGTTGACTTCAATTGAGACTTCATTTGATGGTAGAATGCGGGAGGGTAGAAAAGATGGGTGGCAGTGTCACAGAAAAGTTAATCTTTCCTCATCCAGTGTTTTTTGTACATACCAATGATACCAATGATACCAGTATAGTACTGCAACTCAGTGCTTAAGATGTGTTCTCCCTTGATCTTGTGAAAGTGGTCACCTACCTCCCAAGCACAGAGCCCAAAACCTCTACAATCGTTTCACTGTGAATGCTCATGGAATACGCTCCTGGTTTCCGAGACAAGACATCGTTCTGCATAAAGCAATTGGTCCCTGTAAAGCCTCGTTCCCTGGAATTGAAAAGAAGTTCTTGTCCCTGACTCCAAATCGTTTATTCGCATCTCCCTGCTTTTTGGTCCAATATGAAGAAGTCTTAACGATGATTGGGTACAGTTGGTCTTGAAGCTCAATCATCAGGGCTTGAGATCAGTCATCTTTGAACGGCTTCTGTACGAATGGGGGAGGCATTTAGCCCTTTCTGCTTCCCATTGTCGTGTTCATTGCTTCGCAAGAGATGACATACATTCTCTACAAGAATTGACCAGGAGTTTCAACGAACTCCTTGTAAACTCTTGTGAAGAATCATACTACTGGTACTATTAGGTTGTCCGGAAAGTTTTGAGAAAATTTCACACTTTTAGTTTGAAGAAGTGTAGCAAGCGAATGCCCCAACAGAACGTCATATATCAAGTGCTATGAGAAAGAGAAATGTTTGTAGATCAATACTAATGCTGGTTGTTATTATTCTCCATTGTTGGTATGATTTGACATTACCTGAAAAATGTACGAGCGCGCACGACTCCCAACGCCTTTTACTTCATCTTCACCGTTCTGGCTCCTCTATCGGTCAAATCGGGAATGAGGAACCGCCTCCGATGCTGGATAAAATGCGCTTCAAAATTATCTATACTAGGAGATCAATCGGTCTCTTCCATGGAAGTTTAGCTTAGATGTTGCGTACGCCCCCTCATTCTCAGTACTCGCTTAGTTCTAGCTCCCACGCAAGGTAATCCCGCCCAAAAGGTAAGGGACATAGGATGGACAATATTTATTATAACTATGAACTACTATCTCTTATTGTTGTTGATAAGTGTTAAATGAGCTGGTTGAAGTTTCTCAAAACCTTCCGGACACCCCAATACTTCATGGCTTCACAGGATTCCACAAATCTCGCTTAGTGGCTCGACATGACAATAGGAAGTATCGAAAGTGCAGAATCCCACACCACCAACCCGAACTGCGCCAATGATTGCACCATTTCGTAAGTTCATGAGGTTTACAAGACTGGAATTCCTAGCTGTGCATAAAAAAGAGATCTGGTGAAATTTGTCTTACTATTAGCCAGCTTGAGTGCCTACAAGTAATCGATTAAGTATCCTTTACACAAACTTTGGACTGTTCGGGATCAATTTCTATGTTTGACGTTTATTTGACTGGAGGAACCATGTCGGCTTTGATACGGTAAATAATTAAGAATCCGTCGGAAACGAGCTGCCACACATCGGGCTCACTTATAAATCCTTGCCCAACGATGGTGCTCGTGAACGGAGAAGTGGACGGTTCAGACTACAATTTTACAAGAGCTGTCAGATCTTCTTTGCGGGAGTTGACAAGGAGGTTCTGCGAGATTTGACTGGTACTACTTCATAACTTCACAAAGTTTCACAAATCTACTTCATGGCTCGACACCATCATTGGAAGTGGCGGAAGTGCAATGTACTTTCCCCCCCCCACCAGGGTACGCCATCGTTGTGATCATCACAAGGGGGGTCGTATTTGACCGCGAGGGAGGGGGGGGGTCGTATTTGGTCAGAGAAAAATTTTTTTGATAGTTGATTTCTCTTGTTTCACGGACGCTGTAAAGGGGGGGTCGTACTTGGTCATTTTTGGGAGGGGGGGGGGCGTATTTGGTCAGTTCAGGGACGCACTACTATTTCCGACACTTGAAAATGATAGTTTAATTCTGACGACCTCCCCCCCCCCGCTCGACGGCTCGGTTCGATGAGGAAGGACAGAGGGCTGGGAGGGGGGTCGTACCAACTCCCAAAAAGGGGGTCGTATTTTAGTATGGAATTAGGGGGTCGTAATTTTCAGAAAATGATCACAACGCGATGGCGTGCCCTGCCCCCCACCCCACCCCCCGGTGAACTGCGCCGAAATCGCAACCATTTCGTAGCTTGACAGAAGTTTGTAAAAAGGCGATGTTATCAGCTGCGCATTCAAAAATGGTCCCTTTAGCAAAATCGCTCTCAATAGCAGTAAGGTATGAGAATATCAATTTAAATATTTTTGCACAACCTTGAGACTGTTCGAAATCACTTTCTATGTCTGACGTATATTTCATTGAAGAAATCAATTCGGCTTTGATACGGTAAATAATTAAGAATCCATCGGAAACGAGCCGCCACACATCGGGCTCACTTATAAATCCTTGCCCAACGATGGTGCTCGTGTGAGGAGAAGTGGGCGGTTCAGACTACGGTATCGCCGTTGGTACATCCCCAAATCCGATACGCATTAGCACACATGATAGGCATTATGCAGAGGTGAGTGTGAAAGATTTTAAATATATTATGCATAGTCAAAGGTTTTTCTTTAATTTTCCTACGAACAATTAGTTTATTAAAGAAAAATCTAAATAAAACCCTGAATTGAGTCCACAAATTTCATCAAAATTTCCATATGAATTCAAAACTTTCATTTCAGTGCTGAACTGGTTGATCTTGACGAACAATCGCCAACATATTGCGAAGCAACCATTCGACAACAATTCACCTCGACAAGTGCTTTTCTTGCTGACGGTTAGTACATACCTTTTGGAAATGAAATTATTATTTCATAAATATGATCATATATATTTCAAATATTAGTGTGCCAATATGTTACTAATATAAAAACTCTGTTTATTCTCATTGTGATTGCTTTCGAAACGTTCGAATAGCTTGGAAATTAATTAAGAATTTTATTAATATCTGGCTTACAGGTCATATGAGTTTATTAATTTTTGTGGGCGTGCAGTTTACATAGAATCCATTCTATGTGCATCATTTCTCTGCTTCAGCATCTACTGACCTGTCCTTCCATGCATACTCTCTATTCCTTTGTTTTTTGGCTACTTTTTCATGAAACTTTATGGGTTAAGTAAGTAGGCAAGAGAAGAAAGTTGGCTGCAGTGTTGCTTAAGATGGCACGTCATCCTAGGAATGTCGGCGGGACCACCTCTAGGAACATCAGCTAATGCCGAAAATACATTTTGGAAGTGTGTTCCCCTAGCAGTATGTTATGGTATTTTCGACATGAAACACTTCGCTTCGAGCAACAATAAAATGCACACCACCATCGGGAGAACTGTCCGATTTTCAACAAATTGATTCGACTCTACTATCTGTTTACTTATACTACTGTATGTTGTACGAGATCGAATGTTCAACTCCAATTTCTGATCATAGTACATCGTCCATTGAAGAGATCGACTTCTGTTTCAGTGGGATTTTTATAGATATTTGCTGATACTTGTTGATACATTTGTTGACACCTAAGAAGTTTTCAACATTGCCTTTAAGTGCGAAATTCAGGCTCAACTGCTAGCCCAGTGACTGTTGAAGAATCCGTGTGTGCTGTATGTGGCTACGAAATTAAGGATCAATTCGTTTTGAAGGTTATTTCTCTATTACTTTCATAATGAACGTTGGGCGTGGAGAAATAGGACCCATTTTCTGTTACCGTAGTGAGCTACCATGAACATTTTCCGGCTGTACTTATATAACACTGTCCAGTTTAAAGGCAAGTTCCGCGATAAACTAAATATTCTTCGAAGGTGTCAGATGGTCCAGTAGACGATAGTGGAGGTTGTGCTATATTTTCAAAAAGCGAAAATTTGCAAGGATTCCGGTGGAAATTGAGCAGTTAGGCCCATTAACACCGGGCCATGCCAACCAGCGGTAGCTACTAAGTGCTATCAGCTAGCCCCTCTACAGGTTCTTTTCAACCCGAATGATGAGGTGAGGTGGTAAGGAAGAGCAGTTGTCGGTTTGCTGGGAACGGCATAGAGTCCTACAAAGGGCATTTTGACGGTTTTTTTTCTGCCTTTTTCTCCTCTAGTATGCCACCTAGCTGTTTTCGTTCGCTTTTGAGCTCCATCACTCAAGCCACGATTTGCCTTTGAATTTGAGGTCGAGCTCGTGTGGCGAATTCCTTTCTTGATCGCTCTCATTCTACAGCTTGAATAATGAAGCCGGCTGCTCCATTTGAGCTTATTCTCTGCGAAAAAGTTCGTGAACCCATGGCTCAGTCCACATTAGTTAGTACAAGTAATTCGGCTCCCAAGTTGAGCTGTAGAAAATAGCATATTTTGAGGAGTCATCTGTTCTCTCACTGAATAAAGGGAAATCACCAAAGATTGAAATGAACTTTCTTCCGTTAGCATCCGTGTTTATGTGGTTAGTATTCATTTTATGGCTATATGATACACAGTAACACCTGTGAGTATTTCGTAGGAAATACTGCCACCTACTGTTAAATTTCCACGTCAATATAGGTGATTTTGGCAGCGTAACTTTTCGCTCACAAATTTAAGCACATTTCGCCGACTCCCAATGGAAGTTCTTCTGAGCGTTTCCAACTTTCTGCGATTTCTTCGAAAATCTACTAATTGTTTTGACCCTGGAAGTGATCATACCAACTCATCTTGGACGGGAGATTTCGCACGTTAGGGATCCAAACAAGGGAGGAGGAGGGGTTGTATTTTGCCGATTGTACCCCAACAGTAGATGTTCCCTGATACCGGTAGCGTTGGAAACATCAAGCCGGTTAGCCGTTGTAAGGTTTGATCAACAGAGCTTCCTTTCTTCACGGAAACGTAGAATCTTAGCGGAGCGTTAAAGAGAATAAAGGCCTCTAGTTGCATATCGGCTGGCACTGCGAGCCATTGTATAGAACAATTAGTATTCTGAGTGCTGTCAATGTTCTAAACTGTCGTGGAATGGGTGGCGCACCTCAAAAAGGCTTAACTAGCATTGAAAATTTGATTCCTCATCCTTCTGAGGCTGATTTCCATCTTTTCCAGATTTCTTCATTTGCAAATGACTGGTATGCAAATGCAAGTTCTGACACTAACAAACTAGAATAACAGCGTTTGCTGACTCAAAAGGGAGCATCGGCAGTTTCCAAACTTGGCGCCAAATTATTCATAATCGGTAGAGAAGTTTTGGCTTTTGAGTCGGAGCAGTCGCTGCAACAATTCCTCCATAGTAATTTCTGCATTTGATTCTAACCTTCTTGGCATGGCTCTCGGCTTGAAACTGGGACTTCTTTCTCATTACTGTAGGTAACGACCCTTACAACGGGTGAGACGCGCCTAATCGTCATTGTGTCAACTTTACCGTAACAACTTCTTACTGTTGGTACTTCTGTTTCAGGTAATGTCGGACTCATTTCACGAATGTTGCCTACGTTGTGTAGCGTGTAATCAGAATCTTTCCAACAATCCCACTTGTTTCTCAAAAGATGGCCGACTCTACTGTAGGGAAGATCATTCAATGTACGTTTGGATACGGTATTTTTATAACAATCTTTATTGAATGTAAAGTTTGAGTTTGCCTTTCAGTCAGGAATCCTTTCTTTCTCTTTCTTTCTCAAAATCGGAGCCCCGTTCTCATGAAACTGCTAGATAATAAGTGTGAAATGTGAAATTCTATGCAAATACATTGATGGTGAATTTCAGATCAGGAATATCATGAATTTTGTAATTTCATAGCTTCAAAAATTTTCAGAAATTCTTATTATTAGATAATCGATTAGCTCAGAATACTGCAATAGCATTAATAGCAAAGCCTAATTAAATCGAAACACAATTACAACTCTACAGAAAAACGTATATTGCAGCTGAAACGGGAAGCTGGAGGATAATTTTCACCAACTCATCGTCTTGTAGAAAGCATATTATTGACATCGTCTTCTGAACTTATTACTGTGAAATTCCTTTCTCCTGTCTTCCATTTTTGGTGATAGGAGGAGGATATCTCCACGGTTTGGTATCCATCTAGGGGAAACGCGAAAAAAGCAACATGAGAAGCAAAAACCCCTCCTTGAACCCCATCCTCTCAAAAAATTTCATTGTTAATCTATGTCAATCATTTGAAAATCAAAACTGCCAAGATATTTTGTCGCTATTATTGATTTCCTCAAACGGTAATCAATTATCCATTTCCTTACAGTAATCGATCGGACTAATCCAACAGTAATCTCTTGTCAACTCTATCTAGTAACATTATCACTATCAGCGTACATCTCGAAATACGGTATTAATCAGTCTGATTTCTAGACGTATTTCGAGATGTACGCTGATAGTGATAATGTTACTAGATAGAGTTGACAAGAGATTACTGTTGGATTAGTCCGATCGATTACTGTAAGGAAATGGATAATTGATTACCGTTTGAGGAAATCAAT